TGCTTCTACGAATATGAGCCCATGAATCTGAATTCTTAAGCATAAAACAAAGCTGAAATTTGACAAAACAGCTCCATAGTCCAACTTCTCATCCTGCGCACTAGATTGGATTTATTCCAACAAAATTCTACACAAATTTCTAGAGAGAAGAGCGAAAGAAATTCGCGATAGAGAAGCCAAAAAATTTATGTACAGCAGGAAAAGAAAACCCGTCAAACATTTCTACTTGCGGATGCGTTTCCAATCGACAACGGGACAATTGTCTTCGATGGACAAGACCTAAATGGTTATTTGAAAACTACGACTTTGTTATGACAAATAATTAACCGTCCACAGAAGTTTTTAGGGCGCTATGATCCATCAACAGCAGTGAAGAAATAGTGCTATTTTTGACTGCCGTGAAATAAGCAGTTAGCTAAAACTGGGGAGTGAAACTGTTCTTTGTTCAAGATAGAGAGAGTTCCAGAATGCCGTGTGTGATAAAAGTGCATAAGTCGAGGAGTGCGGCGCAGGAAAATGTTTTGTTTTTTGTTCAAGTAAAATATTCAAGTCTTTGGGCACGCACAAACGTCTTTCGGCGGTGCTCCTTTCGCTGTCAGAAGAGTTACTCGGCGACAATTCAACCGTATCGACGTTTTGGCCTTATTCTCGTGAGGAATAGATTTTGTAGCATCAGTAATTCTGCACTGTAATGCTGCGGTGTGACTTGCTCGTGTTTGGTAAACCTGGTTCTGTAAGAAGGAAAATAAAAGTTTGGATAAAGGTGCGTTTTATGGATATTTGTCATACTTTTTAACTTATGCGTATTTGCAAACACAGACAAGACTATCGGACACTATGCATATTGTCTTCTATGGGACTGCTCAAAAATGAAAAATTCCAGGCGTGAATTCAAGTTGACTTCTAAATTTCGAAACTGCGGTAGAACTACAGCAGAAGAATTAGTTGGGGCTGTTAAGGTCACCATAACAGTGACACAGAGGAAATATCGAAACTGCTGTTTCCTGCACCCACAAGGAAAGAGTTTGTAGGTAGGATGAAGAGTGGGATTTGGACATAGCTTAAGTAGTTTAAGTTTGTCCCTGTAGAGTTCGCAGTCTTTAGATAAATTGTAAGAGACGTATGCAAGAGTACAGTTCACCCTGGCTGAGTTAAGATGAACTTTGGTAAATTTGTCAGGATGATATGAAATGAAAGAAGTTATTTAAGACTGCTCAATGCCCGGGAGAGTGAAATGCAGAACCGTTCTGATTGCTCCTACTAACGCCACTACTCAATTTTGGAGTACAGAGAACACAGTTGTTCTGAAGTCGTGCTACTGATCACTTTTGACAGGCGATGGTCAAGGTAAATAATAAACTCATTCAGACTTGTGTCCCGTTATTTACTTGAGTTACAACATTAAATTTTCTATTTAATTTTTACTGCTTGCCTAACAAGCTGCTTAAGATGTTTAGTCTCAAGACTAAAAATACCTAGAATTTTATCCCCGAAAAATGGTACTACTTTCAAACGGGCCAATCACGGACCAATAGCACTATGAGAAGTCATTACTAAGCTGTGGAGAATGCTCTATATGAATTTCTAAATATCTTTATCATTGTCACTTTCTAACTCCTTCAACGCCTCGAAAGATACTGTGAAGGGTTTACAAGGGTAGTTAAGCAAGCCATAAAAAAGAATACTACACGACGAACACTTGGAACAGCGTCAAATTTTGGTAACGGAAAAAACACTGTATTTATTCATCCAAAATATCTTGCTGTACTTTTGCAGCCAGCTGGATTTCAGCTTTCAAAGAGTTCGTTTTAGCCACAATACCCGTTTGGAGAGAAAATAACCTTCCATTTATCCTAGACAAAACAATGAAATGACTAGCAGAAGACTCTAAAGCTATTTCAATGATGATTAATAGATTTTGAAAAGGTTTGACCTTTGACTATTTGTAAAATGTCGATCAAAAAAAAAGCGAAAATCTATTTCCGCAATGCTGCCACGAATCTCCCATACCCTCAGAGGAACCAGCCACCTAATATCATGTGTGCCAAATTTAACCGAACAACTATATTTGCCGATTAATATAGCAAGAACAGATAAATAATTATAGATGGGCGGCAGTACCTTTTTTTAGTGAGAGTAAAAAGAAATCCTATGGCAGATTTATACATTTCTGACACAGTGGAAGCGGGTACAAACAAATGAGTGTAGGGTTACTGAAAAAGTTATGGGTCGAAGATAGTTATTGAAGTATGCGTCAGCGGGCGGCAGATTGGAAAAGATACGCGATTACTCACCGGAAGATGCAATCAGTACCACATAAGAGAATCTCGCCAACCCAACAACCCAATAAAATCCGCTACAGAATAATAATTCCCGTTGCAGAAGATGTCAAGAAAGAAATAAACTACGGAGAAATACAATGCAGATAGCATTTTTCCCAAAAGCAGATGAGTTAGTAAAACTGGAAGTCTCTTTTCTTTCAAAAGGCAGTTAGAAACGAAGTTTTCTTGAAGGAAGGTTGGTACAAGTATTATCTCCTGAAAGATTATGAAAATGAGGGAAAACGATCCAAGAAATTATACAGAAGCGCATATTCAAGAGAAGCAGTTCTCCGAGTAACAGTTGAACAGAAGGGACGCGGGAGAGAACAGCTGTGTCGAATAATTATTACATGCGCCTACTTTACAGAATTAAGGCAACCTTTATCAGCGTAACGGTGGCTCCCAAATGACCAGTCGTGATCGTGAAAAAAAATCGGGACAGGGTATTAGAGGCAACAATGAAACTCGAAATCCCGTATAGCAGCCATCCTATACCCCTGGATGTCTACTCCAGACACTGAAAGTTTTAAACAGTAGAAAGTCTTAAAAACGGAAGTGTTGGAAACCATTTCAGTCCCGTGACGCAGTGACATTGGGTGAACAGTCACAGAAATCAATTTATTCTAACTTGTATTGCCTTCTAAAGTTTCCGTCGTACAGCAAGCTACAATTCAGCTTTCGGTTTTCTTATGCTAGTTATTTCGTCTGAAATCCAATGTATATCCGGGAAAAAGGGACATCTGTAATAGGGGAATTAAACCCAAGTACTGAAGATTATGAAAGGGATTTCCGTCTTGTAACTGACTGTAAGAATCTGTTAATCGCAAAACTTGAACGTTTTATTTAGAAAGAAGAAATCCGTTTTCGACCGTTATATCTAATTCTAAATTTTCTTGTCTCAAGAACTTTTTACATACGGCAAATACGTACCTCAGAACTACTTAAACTACAATTTTTACCTTAATTTTGTTATTATTTCCACCACTATGTGCATAATCAGTCAAATTACTACAAATCCCTTCCTTCTTTATGCTCATGCTAAAAACTAAGAAGTGCAAATACTACTGACTTTTATTTTTACTTTAATAATTGACACTTCCAGTGACTCTTGACATTTCATTCCTGTATTCAGTTATTTCTGTTCCAACACTTTGTGGTTTGATATTATAATTACCCACCTCCGCTTCTGAAAAATTATATTCTCATACCTCCACCTTTAACTGAGTGCAGTACCTCTAAAAAGGAATAAATTGTCTCTCAAAACGCCACTTCTTTCGCCACTTCCATCATATTGCGGAGCAGCAACAATCAGAATTTGCTAAGAACGCCGAGGACTACGATACGGACAGATTAACCTGCGCATCAATAGACTTCCAAGTCGTGCAATGCGAATTAAGCTGTCGCACAGATACAAACTAGACGAGAACGTCTGCAGGAAAAGCTCAAATACAATAAAGCGTGCTACATGGCTTCAAAAGTAAACCTCGGCTAAACACAGGCAGCCCCATATCCCAAACGATCGAACTTCTTTGTGAAACTGCCGTCCTTTCGCTTGATAATCCAGCATTTTACTACTTTCCATACCTTCCTTTCACCATTACCATTAAAGCTTTTGAAATACTCTTGTTTGGTTATTTCCCATTACACAAACTACACTTTTATTTAAAGCTGTTTTTGATCTAAAAGTCTTCATGCTTGGTCCGGTTTTCTAAAATTCACTCTGAATTCGTAGCTGACTTACTTAAAAGTCCTCACGCTTCTCTTATTCCTCTATGATAACAAGGGTTAAAAAAACCGAACTTATAATTAAAAGAAAAAATCTAAATATAAGTGTCCCATATGCAAGTTAATGCTGAAGCATATCAACTTTTTTTTTTGATCTTTGATTAATTACCATTCAAAATATCCAAATGACTAGGGGGATATGTCAGATGAAAAAAATCGCTTGACGTTATTCTACACCAGATCATGTTCTTTATTCATAAACAAAGTAATCATGTAAGAATCTGCTGAAAATGCAAAAACTTATTCGTTTGGACTCCACTCACTTCTTTATTTTAGCTAGCTTCGCACGAGTTTTATCTCTACCAGGTAACCGCGTTTCGTCTTCGGCTGTGAAAATGATCGAAGGACTAGTAAACCTAAAGTACTAAATAGGATAGAAAAATAACGAAAGCATTGCAGCACACCATGCAAAAAAGGGATTTCAGCGTTTGTTCCAAAACTCTAAAAAGCAATACCTAAATAATTTCGACGCATAAAGTTGTCCATCTTCTAACACTACGGAATCCGGTAGCTCTCCAAAAAAGGTTTTAGATGTTTGATCAAGAATACCAGGATTTACAAAGAAAGTAGGAAAAGGCGGATCTTTAACACGTTTTTTGGGTATCATTGTGTCGTTTACCAACAGTATTTCACCAATTTCTCCGGGAACTGAGCCTTTTATGTACATAACCTGCAAATGGAAATGGTTATTATGAAGTCCATTTCGTAAACAACCAATTTTGGAAAGCAAACTTGTTTTTCAGGTATAATTCGCAAGACTTCAAGGGAAGGTATCGTCACCCATTCGTACCCCATATGACCAGGAAGTCGCCTGCCGGGCCAAACTTTTGCTTCACCTTTGATTCCTATAGCTCCCACACGACGATGAGACTTTGTTGTGCTGAAAAAAATTCCAAGTACTACGTATTTTTAAAGAACTAAACCCTGATGCTGAAAACGGAAGGTAGAATACTTCAAAAACAATCCGACTTCATCAAAAACTAACATTAATAAGAAAAAAAAGAAACCGACGTTAACAAAGTCCTCCCAAACCGCTCTCGGCCGCAAAATGAATTTACCATTCCACTAATAAATTATGTAAAAATTCACTAATCACCGGAGAGCTGGCTGCCCTCTCATTCCCCATCGATGCATAACACCTTGAAATCCCCAATCAATTGTTCGCCCAGTGACCGAAACATACTGTCCAACAGAAAAGTGACATACATGCAACGGGGTTCCAGGAGGTATGACAGCATCTTCAGAAACAAGGAAGCTCCTCAGAGCCTCCTTAACTGGTAAGCCTGAGAAAACAACATGATAAATTAAAGAAAATCAGTATGCTTAGGCAAGTAACTACAACTGGACAGTAATTGAAGTTTCAAAAATATCTGAACAAAACCTTGACGGCTGAAAATTGTTCTGTACTCGTGCGTATATTTAGAAGGATCGCAGTTAATAGCCCCAACAGTAACTTTCCAGAAAGCACCAAAACGATTGAAAGCCTTGTTTTTCCCCACTAAACTGCATCTGGAACCACACCATTACGTGAGTAAAACAGCTGCGAAAATGTTGCTACTGCTGTCAGAAAATATTCAAGATTTAAAAAGCTATTCTCTAAGTTCAAAAGTAAGCTTCAAAATGAAAAAATCATTTTTAGATGCCTATAAATCTTTCTAAACTTAACTGAAAAATATGAAATTCTTCTAACTCAAATTGCATACTTTTTTTATTTGATATATTAGATTTTCTAGGTAACTTGGTTGACTAGTAAAGTCCAGTCTCCAAATGCATAATTAAAAGTTTATAAATCACATGTTTAGACTGCGCTGAAGTATGGAAGTTAAAATGTCAGTAAAGGCGGTAAAGACTGAGCATTACCAATTCTTTTCAACCAAAATAAGTTTAGTTCTCCCTTTTTTTCCCTTTTGCAGTTACCAAAAAATTTTGGTTGTGCATTTCTACAACAACTTTAATACATTTTTTGAGGTGCAACACAATTGTTTTCATAATGCAGAAATTATATTTCTACTTCTAAATGAGAGACTGAAGTGTTGAGACAGTTGTGCAGTTAAACCGGTATATCACAGATTCTCGAAGCAAATCGAAAAAAGTGGATTTTGCTCATATACCGGCGGAAATATCACTTTGGCTAAATACTTCTGTAGAATAGAAACTTTGTAACATTTTAGAAGAGTTTAACACCTAATTTTTCAAATATAATTGTGTGAAGTATTGTTCTCACTATATTTTCCAACTGCTGTTTGAAACATGTACAGCTAAATAATTTTTGGTAGCTAAGACAGACCTGCTTCAGGTAAAACGAGTTGCAAAATCCAGCAAAGAAAATTCTAAACTCTCAAACAATGCCATCTAAAATAGCACCTTAGCCTTTTGTCGCACTTTGACAAGACCTAGCTTGGCGTTGAATAAACACTTTCAAATAATCTTTCTCAGGTATGCAATCAGAAGCTGAACTCTATTAATCATTCAAGTTAAAAAGAAATTTACTTTAAGTAGCTGGGCATCTTTACGCAAAACAGGTTTAAACGTCTTCCTGAAATGGCCGAGAAACCTTCCAGTTTATAAAAGTACTAATATGGCTTCAAAATACTAATAAAAAAAGAAAAACAAAAGTAAATTTATTTCTAAGAAGTTAATCGGAGTTGTAATAAAATCCCAAGAGACGCTTAAAATGATTTCTCTTAGAAAAATTGAAACAGTGAACCAGTAATTAACCTAAACCAAGTTTCTGGGTCTACAGCGGAAACAACGTGATTATCAGGAAATTCCAGTATAGTACACAATACTCGGGTACCATTGTTCAACCACTGAGGGACCATCCCAATCTTACGGGCTATCAGGCCAGTTCGTTTCGAATTAGGAGTGTACTTTGGAGCTGAATCATCTTTGGGACTCCAAGGTCCTTTTAATAACGGTGAATTACTATCCACCCACTTGGGCCGCACGCCTGACAGAGCATTAAAAAAATATTATCCCACACATCTGCTGAAGGCAATCCGTTATAAAAATGAAAGAAACATCTGTTTTGTAAAATACTACTGAAAAACGTAGAAAATATAACTAGTGAAACTAAAAACAAACTTATTTCCTGCTCAATGACCTGCTGAATCAAGCTTCTTGTGTCCGGATCAAGGAGTTCTCTTGTTTTATCATTAATTGGAGATACCCAAGGAGGAGGCTCCAAGCATCTTAAACATTTTTCAGGCAGTACTGACAAAATTCGAGATTACAGCTTATAATGTAGCCTAATAAAGACAAAAAAACAAAACTGATGTCCCTCTATCCTACCTACGGCGCCATCTTTTCTGACTCGACTGCCAGCCCTTCCTTAAGCCTGCAAACAGGAAAGTAGAAGTAGAAGGAAGACCGCCAGCATCTCCGAATATTCTGAACATCTAAAGAAGAGTATAAACGGGTCAACAACACCACCTATAGTAGTAAGTACTAAAACTGGCTCTCATCACTAAACAAACGTTTAACTCAAAAGGAAAGTAGTGCAGCGCAGCAGAAGCTTTTACAGTCGCACAAAAACAAAGATTGAAAATTTCAAGGGAAGCCATTTTGAAGCTAAAAAAAACTAAATCTGAGCCACAGTTACTATCGTCTTGACCAAAACGTAATGATCAAAACAAGAAATCTGCTAAAAACAATCTGTTTTATTCAGTTACAACATTACTTTGAAAAACAACTTTAACCAAAAGTACACCAAAATCAACAATATAAATACAAATGATGATGGTATAAAACAAAGCCCACAATGCTTGCTTAAATTCAAAGTAAAACGGATCAACGCTCAAACGCTCCAAAAAATCAAAATTGACTGTAGAAACCTAAACAAAAAAAAAAAAAAAAAAAAAAAACAATCTCTCAAAATTCTATTCCAAGCTCAACACTTAAATTAATTTAGTATCTAAGAAACAAAATGATCCAGATTTAGGCTGGAGTGAAATAAAATAAAATTTCTTTTATAAAATCACGTAACCCGCACAAACTGGCCAACCAGAAATGAATTCTCCTTTAAAGAAGCTGCCAGCCTAAAAATAACCATATGTTAGAATAAAGCTCGTCTAATTTGAAACCTACAGAAAAACTGTGATAAGTAACTATAATCATCTTAACCACGGGTTAGTTTGTTTAGATGCTTCATAAAATTCATAGGAGCTTAATGTTCCATGAAAAGTGTTCAGCGCAAAATCTGAAACTAACCAGGACAAAATTACTAATCGATCCTCCCTTTTAGATATAAGCGTCCTAGGTTTCCATACTTTCATTCGCAACAAGACTATTTGCATCCTTTTCTACGCTTACCAACTCTCTTCTAACCTCTGGAGTTATCTGATAGTGGAAGTGTTTCTAAAAATTTTATGTACTAAAGAGGCAAAAAGACCAAACATACTACACTGAAAAAGTACCTTCACAACATCAAGAAGTATTCTTTTTTGCTCCAAGTTAATATCTTTTTTGTAATGCTGAACGAAAGCTAGTAAAGACTGATGCCAAAGTACAGGAAGTTGCCTCTCATCCTCCAAAAACCTATAAAAAGAAGTAGAGGCATTGCAATGATGCTTGACAGGTAAAATTATGAAGTGTCAATTCTAAACGATTAAATGTCAGAAACAAAGTAACTTTGGACCTCGAGAAGTGCTGCACAATAGCATCTATTGCCCGATAAGGCAGTGTGTACTTCTTATCAAAAAACACTCGCAAGAAAAGCGAATTTGCTCCAGAATATTCCATTTCAGCGATCTAAATTAGTATGGCATACCAAGTTTTAGGGCAAGCTATGAAAATTACTACTTTTAGGAAACAAAGAGGTCCAGCATTACCATAATAAAAGCAAGTATCAAATATGAACAACCTTTAACATAGCTGCAGCAGCATGAAGCATCGGGAATGAACTTTTTGTAATAACCGACCCGAAAATCGTTGCTTCTCGAAGAGTACATGTTCCTGACTAGAAAAAATTTCATCGTAACAAGCAAAAGTACTCCAAGTTAAAAGATAATTAGAGTACGTTTTTTAATTAATGAATAAAACAATAAGAACACAAGAATGTTACTTCTTGCAAATGAAACTCATCGTTTTTGTCGCACAGATCCGCAGTATACCAATGCATTTTTGCTTAGATTAAAAACCCCAGCACAATATGACCAAAAGATCAAATAAAAGCATGTACTTTTCATAAAACAACTTCCCATATAATCATTTGGATTTTCAGCCAGGAAAAATTAAGAAAAGGAAATTTTTAGAAAAGTGGAAATACCTCACAGAGTGGGAGTATAATTCCTTTAATAAAAGCCTGCGGCTTAAACATTGCTTTAATAAGCGCATGATATAGATGATAGTTAAGTTTCTTATATTCCTCTATGTCATCACGCAATCTCGGGAGCAAAACGTAATTGTAGAACCTAAAACAACCAGTAACTGCAAAATGGTCTTCTGTAAAATAAAAGTGATTTACTAATCTTGATAAGAAACTTTTGACACATCCGTGGACTCAGATTTGAAGCAAACATCCTAGTTGCTTGATACATTGCTGCGGCAGACCACCCATCTGGGTCCATCAAACTGAAACCAGTTAG